GAGCCCAGGATTGATCAAGCGTGCCCAAGCAGGTTATCAGAAGGAGCCCCGATAACAGCATAGGGCCTCCATTCGAAAAAAGAACCTAATACCCAGCGTGGGGGGCCCTCAGAAGATTGAATGCACCCACACAGGCCATCAGATGACTCCTGACAGGGGCGTGGGCCCTACATTCAAATGCCAGGACCCCATGTGCAGGGCCCCCGAACAATCCAGTGTGCCCAACGAGGTACACAGATGGGGGCCGGCCGCCAAGTGCATAGGGTCCCCCACTTAAATAAGAAATACCCACGGCACAAGGTACCGAATGGTCGATTTGGCCAGAGCAGGTTAAACAGATAGGGCCCCCGACAAGAGCACAGGGCCCTCCATCTCTTCACTCCCCGAGCAAATGCAAATAAATCAGTGGCTACGTAGGCCCCTGTACGATCAGGTTGACCCGCAACTGGACACATAAGCCCCACGGAAACAGTGTGAGGCCTCTGGAGAGCTTCAGCAGTCTTAAGATCTCCCAATCACCATCTTTCAATCAATGAAGAATAATTGTTGTCTCCTCGTGGGCCCTGCACTTTCGCTTGCGATTGTCATTGGTCACGAGGAAGCCCAAAGACGTCCAATTTGGTTGCGTTCTGTGTAAAACAACTGCGTTTGTTCGGCCGGCTAGGGGTCCTCTCGGAATCTATGGGCCCCTCCGGGCCCCAGAGGGGGGGGGGGTCGTGACCCCGTGCCTCCTCCCCTCTTGATCCGCCCCTGGTGTTGGCCCGGACGTGAACTCACTTGTGTCAAAATTTGAGATTCCCAAGTTATCACCTTCCGGTTAAATAAGGTCAAACAAGGCCACGCTACGGTTGTGTCCAAAGGACCCCAGAACATTTCATGCAACCACCGTGCACCCAGATATCTGCTCTAAATGAAAGGTCACTGGTGCTCATTTAAGGTCAGCGACCTTGTTTGAACATTCAAAGGCCATGGTAAGCAAAATCATAGTTCTTTGATTTTCCCACTTGAATAAGCGTCCAAAACTAGTGACAGCATGATTTTAAAAACAAACTGTTGACCTGGGTCTTTGTTCAGCAGCCTTTCTGACCTTTAAGAAAGAAGTTCATGGAAGATAACACAATGCGGCCCCCCATTATCAATAATGCAAAATGTTCACAAGAATCTGCCCCATACAGCAGCTCTCGAGCAATAAAACAGGTTGGTTTTGTACAATATTTTGACCTTCATATCTCACCCTAGGTCAACGGGTTTGTTTATTCAATTGTTGTGCTGCCTAAGAAACTATCTCAGCGATGTGAAGCCTCATCTAACATCCCGTTGCTGCAACAAATTGCATGTCCGTAAAGCTATCGATTTATTCAGCGATCTTTTCGGCGATTTATTCAGCAACGAGTTCCAATTTCTCTAAAAAAAATATCGAGCTCAACCCTGGCACGAGAGCATCGGCAAAGACCTTTATTTTGCAATATCATGTGACCTTCGAGGTCAAAAGCTGGGTCAAAGGACGGTGAACTCAACATCACCCCAAAATTACCGGCCGATCTGAAAACTATAAACATCAAAATATTCACAAGTGCAGGAGCTAGGGTCCGTCAAAAAGTTCTGATCTTTCAAGATCGCCCTTCAAGGTCCAACGCGGGCTCAAAGGACAGGGAACTCCACATCACCCAAAAATTACCGTCTGATTTTAAACTTCCAAATGTCAGAATATTCAGCACACAAAGAGCTAACGTCTGTCACAAAGTCCCAAGCTTTCAAGGTCACTCTTCAAGGTCAAACGCAGGCTCAAAAGACGGGAGCTCGATATCACCCAAAAGTTACCAGCCACTTGCAAACACTTGCAAACATCATAATATTTATCACAAAAGGGACTACCGTCCATCAAAACATCCTGGGCTCTCAAGGTCATTCTTGAAGGTCAAAGGCGGGCCCAAAAAACAGGGAGCCCTATATAAAAATTACTGGCCGATTTTTAAATTGCAAATATCAGAACATGCCCCACAGAAAGAACTAGCGTCCGTCAAAACACCCTGACCTCTCAATGTCGCCCTTCAAGGTGAAACGCGGGCTCAGAGGACGGGGAACTCGATATTACCCAAACAGTGCCGGCCACTTTGAAAACTATAAGCATCAAAATATCCACAAGTGCAAGAGCTAGCGTCCGTCTAAGAGTGCTGACCTCTTGAAGTCACTCTTCAAGGTCAAACACGGGCTCAGAAGACGAGGACTCGATATCCCCCAAAATTTAGCGGCTTATTTTAAATTTGCAAATGTCGGAATACTAACCACAGAAAAACTAGCGTGCGTCAAAAAGTCCTGACCTCTCAGGGTCATTGTTCAAGGTCAAACGCGGGGTTAAAGGCCGGAGAACTCCTTTCACCCAAAAAGTACCGGCCGATTTGAAAACTATACGCATTAAAGCATTTATAAGCAAGAGAGCTAGCGTCCGTCAAAAAGTCTTGACCTCTCCAGGTCAAGACTTTTTGACGGATCAAGATCTTGCGCGGTCTCAAAGGACGAGGGACTCGACATTGGCCAAAATTTACCTGACAATTTAAAATTTGCAAACATCATGATATTCACCACAGAAAGAATTAGCGTGCGTCAAAAAGTCGTTACATCTCCAGATCATCCTTCAAGGTCAAACGCGGGCTCAAAGAACAGAGAACTCATATCACCCAAAAATTACCAGCCGATTTTGAACTTCCAAACGTCAGAATATTCCACCACAGAAAGAACTAGCGTCCGTTAAAAATGCTCTGACCACCAGGTTGTCCCTGAAGGTCAAACGCGGGCTCAAAGGACGAGGAGCTCCATATCACCCAAAAATTACCGGCCGATTGTTTAACTTGATATGTCAGAATATTCGCCATAGAAAGAACTAGCGTCCGTCAAAAAGCCCTGAATCTCAAGGCCATCTTTCGAGGTAATTTTGGGTTATATCGAGTTCCCCGTCCTTTGAGCCCGCCTTGCCTTGAAGGGTGATCTTGGAAGTGGAGGACTTTTTGACGGACGGTTGTCCTTTCAATGCTGAATTTCCTGGCATGTGGACGTTTAAAATCGGCCGGTAATTTTTGGGTGCTAATGAGTTCCCCGTCCTTTGATTCCGCGTTTGACATTGAAGGATGACCTTGAAAGGCCAGGACTTCCTGACGATCGTTAGCTGTCAGCTGACTTCTTGTGAATATTTTGATGCTTATAGTTTTCAAATCGGCCGGTAATTTCTGGGTGATATTGAGTTCCCCGTCTTGTGACCCAGCTTTTGACGTCGAAGATCACATGATATGACAAGATAAAGGTCATTTTCGTTGTTCTCGTGCCACAATTGACGCACGGACCCTTTTCAGAGAAATCAGAACTCGTCGCTGAATTACACTGCTGAACAAATCGCTAACTTCACGGACATACAGATTGAACGATTCCCTAGAAATTCCCTGCTCTGAATCTATGGCCTGGCTTTGACCTGCTGCAGGTCAGCGACCTTGCAAACTACCTCTAAATTTTTCATGATAAACCATCCATTAACGGATTGCCTACAGCTATGCGGTTTCCCCGCGCTGCTGGTTAACAATCCCGGAAAAACCTTCGGAGAGTCAAATAGACCCCGCTCACCCAAGCGCGCGTTTAGCTACGCGAGAAACTTATTGCGCTTGGATCAATGACTATTTGATGCTCTCACATCATCACGCAAAGGTGACAAGGCTGTCACAATCACGCTTTTAAACTTAACAACTTTTCACACCTTCACAGGTGTGTTCCTGCACGAGCGCCGTCACGATGATTAAGATCGGCAACCGATTGTCTCTTCACCAACCCGCGATGTAGTCCCCGGCTGCACATCAGCCGGCTGATCCAGTGCGGTGGTTACCTCGGGAACGCCGGAGGACGCCGACGACTGGACCTCCGAAGCAGCGGGCTGGCGCCGCAGCTGCCCATCTGCGGAAGAGTCCCTCTGATCCGACACCGGCGCCCCCAGTAGAGCGGCCAGGCGCGGCCCGCCCAGCAACGGCCCGGCCCGCGCCAGCTGATCGGTGCGTCCGGCGGTCCCGACCGCCGAGGGGCCGGCCGCGGCCCGTCCGCGCCGGACAGTCCAGTATCAGTGAGGTCCGAGGCCCGACCGGTAGCCGCCGGCGCGCCACGCCCAAATGACGGTGGTCCTGCGATCGTGGCCGTCGTGTCATCACTTGGTCTTCACATGACTAGCAAAACTGCCAGACGACGAAATGACAAAGGCTCAGGTCAAGCGAGACACATATGATGGTATCCACCGCGGCTTGGCGTACGTTCACAACCCCAGCAACTTCACTTGGGTGTTCGCAGCAGTGCAGTCTTGCTCGTTCTTGTCAAAATGGCAAACCTTCCAAGAAAACAGGCAAAAACCACGCGACGTCGATTGTGGGCAGCGGGGCCGACTAGAGCGTGACGGGAACCAACGAAGCCAAAAAAGAGCCGTACGACGCCTCCCTCTGCTCACACAAGCCCCGGATTTCCTCCAGGTCCGTAGCCGCATTAATCTGACAAAATCATCTTTATTGAAAATGGCGTAAAACGCAGCAGCTCCTCCCGGACGCCGTGCCACGGCGCTTGCACAGCGAAGGATACAGACAAACGGTAGTTATCTTAACAACAGCGTCCCAGCACTGTGCGCTAGGTCTTCAGAGAGCCGCGGCCGGCTGGCCGGGCATCCCAGATCACACTCATTTAACAACCAGGAGGCGGACAGCCATGATCGCAGCCGCAGATCCGACGAACGCGTCACCACTGTCGGTCGCGCCGAAGACGAGGGTTTGAGCGACGGGACGAGGCCGCAGCCGCTGGCGAGCGGCACGCCTCGTCGTCCGCCGACCCGCCCGTCCGCTCAGACCCCGGCTCTCCAACGCACGCCTCGGTCACTTCAGCTTGCCGCCCGGCCGCCGCGGTCGCGCGCGGCGCCGAGCCCAGCTCCGCGTGCACTTTTGCCGCCAGGGGCGCTAACATCGGCCGCATCGTCTCCCGCACCATCAGCTCGTCCAGCTGGCGCGCCAGCGAGCGTAGGTGAATGACGCGCCCTCGCCGACGTACCGGCCTCGTCGGCAGCGCGCCACGTCGCGTAACACTGCGAGCAGGCCACTCGTCACCACCTGGCGGCCACGAGCAGGCGTCTTGGCAATCGGCCGCCAGCCGCGCGCTGCACGCACCAGCGCCTCCTCCGTGTGGCCAGCGGAGAAGATGGCGGCCGTGGCCGCCAGCAACGCGCCCGGACGATCCAAGTCCAAGTGTCGCATGTAGTGGTCGAGCGCAGGCAGCAGCGGCAGGCCACCGCCGTCCACACCCAGCGTCACCGCCAGCTCCCAGGAGAGCCGCGGTAGATGCGGCGACGCCAGCACCACAGCCCGGTACGCCTCCAGTACCTCGTCGCGATTGCCCGTGGCTGCCGCGTGCTGCGCCATCAGGCTCAGCCGCGCGCGCAGCGTGTCTGATCGCACGGCATCGGCCGGCGGCGGTGCTGTCTCCGGCAGGCGCCAGATGGTCTCACTCGGCCACGTCGTGAGCATGCGCTTGCCGGCGAATAAGCTGTACCTGGTGCGACGCCGGCGCGACAGGCGACCGTAAGCCGCGGTCGCCTGCGCGTCGGGGACTGCTTGCGTATCCGAGGTCGCCTCAGCGCCTGAGGCCGCCTCGGTGTCCGAGATCGCCTCAGCCTTCGATATCTCGCCATCGCTGGCGTCGGTCGTCGCCGATAGCGGCGCCGCCGAGCGGGACGCCGCCGCCAAACCACCGTCGCCGTCCTCGTCACCGTCCTCATCGTTGCACTGGCCGAGGCTCTGACGACTGGACAGTATGCTCTCCAGCACGAACACCAGCGTTTCGCGGTGCACGGCCACGGACGGCCGAGTTGCCTTTCGCCGTGTCTCGCGCTGCTGGCCACTGATGCGTCCCTCGTTCTCGGAGCCGGTCACCGTCAAGTTGACGCGTGATGAGGTCACGGGCGGCTGAGTAGCCTTTGGCTGTGTCTCGCGCTGCTGGCCACTGATGCGTCCTTCGTTCTCGGAGCCGGTCACCGTCAAGTTGACGCGTGATGAGGTCACGGGCGGCCGAGTAGCCTTTGGCCGTGTCTCGCGCTGCTGGCCACTGATGCATCCTTCGTTCTCGGAGCCGGTCACCGTCAAGTTGACGCGTGATGAGGTCACGGGCGGCCGAGTAGACTTTGGCCGCGTCTCGCGCCGTCGGCCACTGATGCGTCCCTCGTTCTCGGCGCCGGTCACCGAGTTGACGCGTGTCAAGGCCGCGAACAGCTTAGATGACTCCAGCGGCGTCTCCGGCCGTCCACCACTGATGCGTCTTTCGTTCTCAGAGCCCGTCACCGTCAAGTTGACGCATGGTGAGGTCAAGGGCAGCCGAGTTAGCACTAGCCGCATCTCGCGCCGACGGCCGCTGACGCATCCTTTGTTCCCGGATCCGGCCTTCGTCAAGAAGGCCGGATCCGAGAACAAAGGATGCCTGATGGGGTCACGCTGACGCCGTGATGGGGTCACGCCGCGCCGGTGTCTCTCTGTTCGCGGCATGACAACTGATAATGCAAAGCTGTCTTGGACCTGCATGCAGACAGGACAGTAGTCAGACATTGGCTTCAGTGCTTCAGTTCATGGAATCCGCACCTGTCCATTTGCAACAGTCAGCAAAGATCCCAGTGCAACATAGCTCAAATCTTGCAAACATGTTGACAATCCAGGGTTTGTTCAAAAATGGTCATAGCATGCAGTGGTCAAACTTTTAGATCTTTACCTGTATTAGAAGTATTCAAAAGCAAGTTCTGGTAATAGGACTGATAAAACACCTTCTAGGTACTTCAAGACAGGATCGCAGGTAGGGGTTTCTCATGTGGGGTGAGAGCTTAATAAGCACTTACCAAAAAAAGCCTCAAAAAGTCATGAAAGGTGACAAGCAAAAGACTCTGCTAATGAAGGACGGACAGTTAGTGTCCTTTATTCAAGAAATACTCCATGTGGTTTGTGTATATTATGCATCTAACACAGAAAAATAAGTTTAAAATGACACAAATTGCTGAAAGATGCAATAATTACTGAGGGAAAATAAGGGAAACCGAGGGAATCAAGGGAAAACAGGTTAACACATATTATGACCTTCACAACTTTCTGCATCAGGTGAGGCAAATATGTCTCAATTCCATCAGGTAATAAGGCCCCCTCTGGGCCTTCTGATCTCCTCAACCCTGGCAGGGCAGGCTTGCAGGCAGGTGCAGGTTGGCAGGTTGTGGGCAGGAGCAAGCGGGCAAATAGCTTTAACCACCTGCCACTTGCCCTTCACATCTGCTACTAGCCTGGAATTTCACAGCGGGTTGATAGGGGTTGGATTCACACCACAGCCAGCCAATTGTGAGCTCTGATCTCAGAAATCCATCCATTCAAAACATTAAGGCAAACTCTTTAAGAACACAAAATAATCTGAATAGCAATAGAGCAAAACATTAAGGAAATGTTCCACATCTGAAGATATTGAAGCAAACATTGGATACCATGTAATAAGCTCACTTTCAACCACTGATGCACTAGTGGAAAAAAGCTGCTCTAAATGACACAACTTTTCTGTTAAGTAAATATGCCTCTCAATATGTAATAGCTTGACTGATGCATCACATCCTGCAAAACATTTATTAGAAGCCAATGGACAACTGAAGGCATGTGAAAAGTATGTGAAAAAGTATGTGAAAAAAATACTCACAAGTACCAGTTATGAACAACTCAACAATTACATTTTTCTCGGCCCTGGCCATTGCATGGCCAATGGAATGTCCAGATCTGAACGATGTTATAGTGTTACAGACACTAAGTGACCTTAACAGAAACCTACCCTAAAAAGTCTGCACATCTTAACGGATGTGTAGGCCAGAAACCAGACAGGTTTAGTTCTTAAGGAGGTATGACTGAGATGCACCAGACAACTTTCAAGATAGTTATTTCAGTTCAAACCCTGTACAGATGTCGAGCACTCACTTTAAGCCTCCACCTACCCAAAAAACCCAGTTTCTTCAGATAATGGGGACATTCATCAGTTTTTAATTCTTCACTCTTTCCAATACTTTGGTATGTGCTCTACAGTACCTGAATTTTGGTTTTGGCTGTTGGGGGAGAAAATAATATTAAAATCATGGCTTGTAGTGAGAATAAGATAGCCCGAGCCAATCTGCACTGCATTCACGGCTGGCACTTAAGGACATTCTTTTGCAGTGGATGGCAGTAAACACCATGTTCTGGTTGGCATCAGTGATTGCCAAAGACCAATACAAACAAGCTGCTTGCAATTCTTAAATTTTCTAGCTTCCTAAGCAAGTGTGGTAGAATGCTGTTGATATGAATAATCATATTGTAAAGGTGTCAGTCCCAATAAAGGCCGATAGAAGCAGATGCTCAAAATGCGGTGCACCTGTTGCACCATTCCATGAAGCACATAATGCTAAGTTTATGATTGAAATATCATGCAAGCCACAATATGGAGGGGCGCTCCTACCTTCAAATTTTAATAACTACGACAGCGAGGTCCCTAGCGCCGCACGCACCCCACCACCTCGACTCCCCAGCGCCGTTTCTGTGTTATCGTTGCGCCTCCGATATTACTGCTTATCAAGAGCTATAAAAATGCACGGGGCCAAGATAACAATAATAATGCAATGAAAAACGTTTCTTATCGCGTCTAGGTACGTTTATGAAACGGACAGGCCAGAATAGTCCAGAACATAGCCTTAACTAGCCTAACCTAACGTAACCTAATCTAGCCTAAACTAACCTAACCTAACCTGGCCTAGCCTAGCCTAGCCTAGCCTAGCCTAGCCTAGCCTAGCCTAGCCTAGCCTAGCCTAGCCTAGCCTAGCCTAGCCTAGCCTAGCCTAGCCTAACCTAACCTAACCTAACCTAACCTAACCTAACCTAACCTAACCTAACCTAACCTAACCTAACCTAACCTAACCTAACCTGTTCCATGCCATATACATGTACTGTATTAAAAAGGTTTTTAGCCGCCATATTCTCATTTTGCTTTTCATTCCCACCCAAAAACGTCATACTTCACCACCATGTCGACCAATCTACAAGCAATACGGAAGACTGGTTGGATACGTAAGAAACATATTTCATTGGATTCTTGTTACCTTGGCCTCGTACGTTTTTTATGGTTCTTGATGCGCAAATCATTAATATTGGTAACATATGCGTATATTAGACATGCTTTTTACTGTCATGCGACATAAGCACGAAAAGAGTGCACGGCATACGACAGATCAGAATGTGCGGGCACGTTATCCCAAAAGACTTACAAAACGCGTCCTCTCCATTGTCTAAACAGAGGAAAAAAGGACCGGGGATCTCAGAGAATTACCGAAGGGTCGGCGATTGTTCCACCGGGCTTACACTTTGTATAGGCGTAGGCGCTCGCGTCAGGCCGATATGGTCTCCCGACACCGTGTCCGTGCCAATGTCACTCCGACAGCCGACTGTTACTGTTACTGTACTGTCTGAGTGTGACCTCACTCCGACGGGGTTGGTGTGTTTAATGGGCCGTCCTCTGTTGATCGTCCTGGCTCGCATGTCCGGAACGAGTGCCCGGGCCAAACGTAGCAAACAAAAACCGCACTCGCACATTGGGGAAAACGGCTTGTTTCCCGCGGCACATATGTCCGCCGCGCGCCACATTAGATACTCTGCACGTGCACCAGAGGCGTAGTCAAACTCATCCCTTCAAATGTGGGCTGACCCGGCCACACGATCAATTTTAGAACTGAACTGACACATACTGAGGGGAACTGCCCGAACACCGGCATGCCCAGTTTTGAATTAAGCTGTCATAGTACTTCCAACTCGTGCGGTGTCAAAATGATCTTTGCAGAGCGCTAACATGTGACTCTGTGTGAAACTTAAAGAATATATACACCTGAAAACGTGACACACAATAAGGCTAAGTAGAAGCTAAAAACATATTGTGTTACTGTTGCCCCGGCCAGGGTAAAAAGCCCTCTGGCATTCGGGACCCGCCTCCGTCCTGCTCAGCAAATGTTCTCTTGGCCGACTCGGGTCACCACAGGATACAGGATGTTGTCGACACAGGATACGCTGTTAGGCGCTGTGGGCCCCTGACAGACACCCTCATGGTTTCAGGGACCCCGATCAGTGCAAATCACGGGCCCAGCCTTGCTCTCACGTGGGAAATAGACCTCAGGGTTCGGAACGACACGGAGCCGACTGTTCAGTGTTGGTGCTCTCTGGGCGAAATAGAGACCCGCGGTGTTCCACAGATCCACAATCGATGCAAGAGACACTGTCATTTGAGGCCATGGTCCTACGAGGGGCGTCTTTATTGTGACCTACAGCCAGTACTTCAGGCTCTTCGACCCCTTCAGCCTTCCAAAAGGGCCCTTGTACTTTGGTCTCGAGGGGCCCTTCGGCCCCTCTTCGAGCCTTTTCAAGGTCCAAAGCGGACTCGGGGCTGACGCATGACCCTGTTACGACCCCTGCAAGAAACGGACAGCCGTGTCCGCGGTCGCGCGGAGGCAGCCACGTGGCAGGCGTTACAGGACGAAGCTGGCGGGCAAAGGGGGCATGGCAGTGTTAGCTCGAGCATTACTTGCGTCAGCATGTAACCGCTCAGTCATGAGGGGAGGTGTGGGTGCCAGGATACCTGCACCGTGTGCACAGCGCGATTTGTAAGGGTATAGCTATGGGAACATAGATGTTCAGCGAAGCCGATGTAGCAGGCACTTTGACCAGTATGAAATCGTGAAACATGTGATAAAATTTACAGAAACCAATGGGGATGAAATGGTCGGCAGTAGTCACATCGTTGCAGGCATGATACGCGATTATCCGGATTCGATGACCGCTTAGCCACGTCGCTATATTCCGTGGTCGCGTTGCGCTATATGTGGTAAAGTCGCATGCATTGCATTTACGAGCCCACGTTGAACTTGGCTTTTTAAGGGCTATGGCGAGGATTGGGAGCGTAAAGTTTTCGGTTCGTAGTGACTTGGTTGGTATGCACCTCACGCTTCAATCTTTAGCCTGTTTCCCACGGCCCCAGTTCTCGGCCAGCGTGGTGCGAAGAGCCAACTGGTCGCTTGGCGAGGGCTGGAGCCGGACTGCCGCGTGAAGCGTCGGACTGCCGCGGCGCGGGTTGTCGGACTGGTGTGTAAGTCATGCCTGCAGAAAGGTTTGGACCTCCCAAAATTTTAAGCGAGGCAGGTATGTTTCTTCCGCCTGCAGCCAACAGCGAGCATCTGCCTCAGTAGGGTATTTACGATGTTTCCCTGAGACGCGTCCACTCCTCACCATATTTACGGCTGCATTAACATGTGCTTGAATGAATGTTCGCTTAAGAATCCCTGAGGCACATCAAAATGGGACTAAGATCATGTCATGTCTCACGCCACGCCACAATTTTCGCGAAAATTCCTTCTTTCAGAGAAAAAGGTACGTGCCAGAATGGATCTCGAAACGTTACAATGGAAGGAGTAATGAATATATGAGTAATTTTGTGCCAACCATCTTTAATCTAAGCGATGACGCCAGTCAAAGGCCCGGAAACTAGAACGATGCATCAAAAGCTCGTGAATGCTGAGTCAGCAGTTATTTTTAATCAAACATGTATCAACAAAGGATTTTCCCAAAATATTCCAATATATGTATATATACAACTATATACACATATACATACATTAATATATTATATATATATATATATATATATATAATATGTGCATAACCGTTAATATAGCAGTTTCCACTGAGAAACGATCGCCTAGCCCGAATTTCGCCAGAGAGTCCTGGTCAAATCGAGGCCATAAGAGGCCGTTCAGCCGGATGGCACTCGAGACCAGGCAAGCTATATAGGCCTTAATTACCGAGGTATATGTAACGGTGTCAATAACTATGTGCTTCGAACCTGACCATCTCAGTTCCAAGCTGTACTTAAGAGTCGAAAACTGCACGATACATTCCCTGTAATGCCTCCCCCGCCACACAAACCCAAAGCGAGCTGAAACTGGGTTGACGTTTTCTGCACAAAAAGGAGAACTCATTTCCAACACGAAAAAGAGCATGAACATTAACATCTCAGATGTTTTGTGGACAACACGCAAGTTGGTACATTTGAGTATTTCATGACGTCCATGTTTAAAATCGCAGCCCTATATTATCATATATTGGTCGCTCTTTACATTCGAACGTTTCGAGATCCGATCTCACATCGTCTGAAAAGACTGAACGGCAAAGAAATGAGTTTTGACTTTTTAAAGAAGCAAACATTGTGCACTATTAATTGGAAAACGTCTTTGGCACGAAGAACACGAATGAGCATGACTAATGGAAGAAAGACAGAATCCTACACTCATAATGGGAACTACTACAAAGACACATGAGAACACTAATTGCTACAATCACATCAACAGTGCTCACCGCCACCATCTAACAGTTCAAGAGCTGTGCAAAGATTTGTTTGTCTGTTTAGGGCTGGAGGGAGTTCGTTAATGAATAGTACTTTCCCAAATTTGAAGGGAGCTTCTGTCATTGCACGTCCGTAAAATGTCGGTGTTGTCTGTCAGTTGTTGTCGTGTCAAGTCCTGTCGTGTTCGTGTCGCATGTGGTCTAGAGGTGCCCTGTCGCGTAAGTGCATTGTCAAGCATCTGGAGTGTCGATGTGGTCCACACCAATGTAGTGTGTGGAACGGAAGTTTGCAGCATTCGATGTTGCATTTGAATTGATATACTACATTGGTGCATTTTAGTTTGTTGGGTCCGTCTGAGCACTTTGTCATACGAAAGCTACAGATTGTCCTATTTCAATAATAAATGACTACGTCTGTTTTGTGGTCGTTCTCGCCTTTAACATGTCCAGAGATAATATCCCGTAAGGCTTTTTCGTCTTGTTTGTGGGCAGATGTCCTTTGATTTTGATAATACAGTTTGACGGTTGGTCGGATGTCTTGTCTTGGTTTGCTGTCAAAGTGTCTTGTCGTTTGTCGTATTTCGTGTTCAACGTCAGAATTTTTAAAAAACCATTGTTCAATAAGATCTGTCTGATTCTTATCAATTCTGAATGTCAGTCCTTTCCAATGAGAGCAGTACTTAAATGTACGTCTAATGAAGAACCTAATGATACTAATTTTGTAGCGTCGAGGACACTCACTGTCAGCATTTAAGCACCGCCGTTGTTGTCTGCTTTCGGCATACAGTCACTTTGAATCGTTGTCGCTGTCCATCAAGTCACGTCAAAAAACGGTATTATATTTTGTTATGTTATTATGCTTTATGCAAATTTTAAACCGGACTGGTCTTCAAAGGTGTTTTTTGAGACGTCCTGGTTGGTCCATGTCCCTAACTTCCACAAAGATATCGTCCACGTAGCGGCAGTAAATATCCGGTCCTCTGTCGTCATTTTGCAGTGTGTCAGCTTCTATCTGTCCCATACCAAATTAGTGAATAAAGATCCTAGAGGTGAGCCCATCGCCAACATCCTCAAATTGGCAATACATTCGTACATCATATCTGCGGAAAGGAACCTCCAACGTACAGACTTTTAGTAGTTGTTTATGTAGGCGCTTTGATATTTTGACAGGAGGAATTTCGGGATGATTGTAAGCCCCGGTCAAGGATGACGGACATGGTTCTCTCAATGGGCATGTTTGTTAAT